AAGAACTGGATCTGAGTTAGAAAATTAGGCAGGTTTTTCTTTCATTAAACACACATCTTAGCAGGAAGTTGAAAAGATAAGGTCGAGAGAGTAGGATTGTGCCAGGGGTGACTGTGGAAAGGTGATGGATTAAAATATAGTCAGATTTAGCTATTTTTAAGATGAAATGAGGCACTTGAAAAATGAGTTAATTAATCATAATGTCATAGCAAAGAGCATTTCCAGCGGTACAAAAAGTAGCTTTTCGTATTTGCTGTGGTCACAAGTTGCAAATATTATAGCCCTTTGCTTTCTTTGGTCCTTCAGAAATATTAATGTGGGAATAGGTGAGGTCAGCAGGGAAGCCATGATGGTTTATAAGTTTTCAAACAATTTTTTTGCAGTGGTGTCTGCATTAGCATTTTGACTTGAAGCAACACTGTGCTTTTGAAGAGACTCCTCAGATTGTCCCCTTTGCTGCATGCTATGTCCATCCACAGAGCAGGATTAGCGTGCATCAAATAGATTGCTTTTAGAGGAGACTAGACTGAAAACTCTGCTCCAGCTTTGTAGCAAATCTGCTTTCCTAACCTTAAGGGAAACATAGGGATCCAGACCAGTCACTGGTCCGTCACATAGCTTCAGACCACATGTGCGGTAGGGAAGTTTTGTCCATGGAGCCAGACTCAATCTAATCCCAAGTAACCCCATAAACTGCATAAAATAAAGACGCAGAGGTCTCAATACCAATTAATTTATGCTTTATACTGCACATTTAACTCAATACCCTCCCCCTCTCCTTTTTACTCCTTGTGACTTGAGGCTTTTGGCAACGTCCTTGTGGCTTCCTCTCCAAAGCCAGCTGTGCTCAACTAGTGATAGTGAAGCCACTAAGACCTACTTCAGCAGTCCAGGAATCAGTCCCCGCTTGATTGTAGTGGTATCTTGTTATAATATGCTTGTGCTTGTGACCTGTGGAGGCTGAAGTGGAGCAAGGGCAGTTGTTTGTTTTAATGTGTAACAATGGGGTAGTGTGCACCTTCTTTTAGAGTGCAGTGATACAGGAAACTATTAGGCCAGAGCACCTGCATCCAGCCTTGGGCACTGAGAAGAGTGGTAATTCAAGGCCCAGTTCTGTTTTTTGAGATGTTATATGTGGTCAGTGCTCGTTTAATTTCTACCTCATTTCAATTTGAACTTCTTAGTAGAGACAATGGCTTCAACTGAACTCCATGCAGGCTCATGGCAAGAGTACAAATTCAGCAGCATTTGCTCTAAGGAGCATGTGTCTTCAGGAAATGTAAAGGCTCATGCTGCCTTACAAAGAAAAATTCCCACGTTGTAATCAGAACTTTAATTTCAACCATCACATTTTTTTTTTCTTTTGATCAAATTGCAGGTGGACTGAATTTGCTATCATCACGAAAATGAGACATTTAATAGATCTTTTGAAGCATATTAGCTATTTATTTTCGCTATATTTAAAACTTTAAGAAGATTCCCTGGAGGAAATTGCAAATGAAGTCAGCAAAAGTGTAGCCATATACTGAAGTTGGTGAAGCTCTGCTGATCCAAGGATCTGACCCAATTAACAGAGAAGAGCCCTCAGCCAGCCCTACGCAGGATTTAAAAAAAAAGAGAGAAAAAAAAAAAAAAAAAAACATAACAAACTCCCCTCCTGTTTTACTCTTGCAATTCTACCTCCAGGTTTAATTTTTCTCCCTCACTAGCTGTGCTCTAGAAGGCATGAGGCTTGCAATCACATCTTTTTTAATACTTTCTTGAAAATAATTGAATTGCCTATTTTAGTTTGCACTTGCTCTTTTCTACTAGCATTGCGTTGTATGCGAGGTGAGATAAATAAGACACTGGACAATAAGCACTATTCACTTGTGACAACTTGTCAGATGTGGTCTCATTTGCCTACCCTACTTCCTATAGCACTTACGCCCAGAAAACCAATGTATTCACAGTTTGTAGGAGTTTGGAGAGATGCATCAAGAGTCTTACAAAACACCGCTCAGCATATCGTTGCCTCTATTAAGGAGCAAAGAAGAGGGTAGTTTTAGATTGTGTTGCGCTCTCTCTCTCTTTGAAAAGACCCAAATAGTTATGTCAGTCATTGCTTCTCTCCTCCCTCTTCCCCTGAAGTTCTTTATCAGAGCTTGCAAATAAAACTACTGTAAGTCAAGTGATCTCTGAACTGCTCGATCTGCAGAGGAATCTGCAGCGGACCTGCTGCAGAAGAGAAACACTTTCTTTACCTGCTGTAATAACAAAATTACACATATTAATTTTTGATTTTCTGCAATACAATTTCAGGCTTTATTGCCATCATGTTATGAGATAGAATTGGGGTGTCTGTAACATCAGATACGGTAAGCTATTTTTCTCTGTGAAGCAGCATTCGGTATTCAGCCACCATGCCACAATTCTCTGTTGACTGAGCCCAAGCCTGGATGACCAATTCCTAAATCAGCTTCACAGATATAAACCGTTACTTTCCATTGCAAAGAAGGTTTTCTGTTGTTCCGAAGAGGCAGGAAGCTACAGTTTTCTGACTATTGTGCATCACTTATTAGAGAGCTTTTATTTGTTGTGCCAGCTGTCAATACCGAACTACCTGATTTTGTATTTATTAGATACGTAACTCACTTCCCACGGTTATGTTAACAGAGTGGATATCTTTAAGGATTTATTTATCTTCTGTATGTGATCAAAGGGTGCAACTTTAGTGAAGGAGAGGAGGCGAGAAAAGTTTTGATGTTTCTGAGTTCCTGAGTGCTAACTGTGAGCTCAAGGACCAATTATTTTCCTATTATCCCGTCTCTACATTAGAAGTAATATTTACTGAAGGCAAATAAGTTGCCTCAAGCTTATATTAGTGGAAATAATATTAAAATGTCGTGCATGCTACTGACTTCCTCACCACGATGAATGTGGGCACATAATTGAATACAGTCTGATTTTTCAGTGAGCCAGTTCAACTGGAAATACACGTACTCTTGGTTCATCTGGGCTCACTGTGGGGGAGAATATGCTGGCTTAAATATCAGCTACATCAGACAGTCTTGAAGTAGTACCTCCTATCCCTTGACTGAGGCAGGGTAACAGCACTAATGAAATATGTTGCACTAGCTCAGGTGAGGAGTGACATCTGCTAAATTTCCAAAAGTTTTCACTTGATTTTGTTCACATGCCAAAAAAAATACTGAAGCAAGAATTAGGTTTTCAGTCTTGGCTTTATAAAGTGAAAAAGATAAATCTTTGATAATAATCAGTTTCTTGAGGAACATTTAGCAGAGAAACTACAGCAGACATGAGTGAAAGGCTACAAGTTGGGAGATATATTTCTAATTGCTACAGATGAAGTTTAAAGTGTTGTCAAGGAAAAGCAAGGTTGTTCCCAATATCAGGGTTAAATATCATTTAAAAGATTACAGAATGATTTTGGGCCTCAGCGACAAAAATTAATCTTTTTTTTTTTGTAGGAGTAAATTTCATATATCATTTTTGTAGTAAGATTTGCTCTCTAGAAAGAGTTTTACCTCATGAGCAGCAGAGTGTATAACTGTAAGTTAGGGAGCTGCCAGCAATTAGTCACCAGAAGATAAAAGGTGTGGAAGCTGTTTATCCAGGGAGATAAAACTCTATTCCATCTCACAGAGGATAGAGGCAGTCTGGAAAGGCATGACAGAGAGACTGTGAAGGAGCTCAGATCTGTTTCCAGTTAGTTAAAGAAGAGTCCATCACCTTATCCATTTATAGATTATCTGTTTATCAAGTTTCACTAACATTGGATTTTGCCTCGACTTTTTGCAGAGAATCTCCTATTGGATCCCTTACATATTAGTTTAAGAAGCCTACATTTATGGGGAGCCTGTTTCTTAACAAACTGTGCTTTCACACTGTTTTCATATTGCTTGAGTATTCTCCAGACATGGAATAAATGTCATGAGAAAGTTGTCAGCTACAGCCATGAGAGAAGTCCTCATGATCTTTGAACAGCTGGCTTACTTTACTGAAAATGCAGTTGGGGATTTCCATAGGAAGGAAAAGGGTATGTTCATGCTTAGGCATACAGACTTCGACATCTTCCAAAGGCAGGGTCAGTCATCACACAATATGACCATAAATAGCACAATAGGGTTCAGAAGCTGAAGGACAAGGTGAATAAAAAAATACTAGCAAACCCTCATGTTTGGTGTGCTAAAAAACCTATTTCTAAGATAGGTAATTTTTCAAGGGGTAGCTCAGCTGCTGCTTCTACATCCTCAGAAAAGCATGCAGAGATGTTAGCAGAAATGCACAACCACATCTGTGCAAGGAATTAATCATGTGGGGGTTCATGTGTCCAAACTGGACATCCGAAGTAAGCTCGTATGCGATAATGTGAACATGAGCAGATGACTTCTGGGTTCAGTTTCCATTTGATTTACAATGGGATTTCCCCCAGCTTTTGTCTTTGAATAGGAACATAATGCCTTTCTTACTGGCTCAACCTTGCAGTTTCTTCAGACCAACATGCTGAGTTTGATGAGCATCAGAGGCTTCAAGACGAGGTACATGAAACCCCACAGTCAGCAGAGATAAACTATTTATCACATGTGACAGTCCCTTAATCTCAAATAGCTGGAGATTAATCCCTGGCAGATGAGGATTTATCACCTTAGCAATGTATGGTTTAGCTTTAGCTGTTACACCTTTGGTTAACTATTGGGTTCTTTTGAGCAGCCAGGCCATCTTTCTTGTCCAGTCCAAACTTGCTACATCTTTGTTCTTAATGAGATCAGATGATATGAGTAGTCTGTATTGCATCAAAACCCATTGCCTTTTTTCAGTGTTGAGTTGGTCATTTTCCCTATTCCTCCTTTGCTCTGCTTATCAGGCAGCAAAAGCTTGCTCTTGGGGCCTGTCTACAGGGCAGTGGAAAAATCTGAACTCTTCTTCTTTAAACTCTTCTCCTTTAATTCCAGGTAGGATAAAAATGTTCTCTGGCTGGGCATTACAGGTTTTTAATACATATTCTGCAGTTAGATCAACAGAAATCCACTGTTAAAAAAAGAACTTTCTTTCTCTTCATGAGGAACAACTTTCTGCCTGTTTTTATTTACTGCACTTTTGGCTGTTAAATAACGATAAAGTATTAATAAAGTCCTTTGAACTTTACAGGGAAAGTGAGCATTAGTCATATATTCTTCCTCAAAGACAAACAACTTCAGGCACAAGGATGAAATGTGGTTAGTTTCAACTCATTCCACAAGTCATTAGCAAAGCTGATGAAGACGGTGAGGGACCTATAGCAGTTTACACCAGGTGGAGTGATTTAGTTCATGTCTTTTTTTACTGCTTGCTGGACCATAATTTATGCCATTGAAGTGGAATGAAATGGCAAATGCTCTACTAAAATAAGATCATCATCCTCCTTTTAGGTAATAATAAGTGTGTATATTTGGGCATTTATTTAATAAGTTCTATCTCTCATTTTTCATATGCAGTAGGAACATGATGTGTATTTTTAGTGGAAAGACTTCTGTGACCACAGTCTTTATTTGTAGCATGTCACCTAGGAGGTCTAATTGTGGATTGGCAACCCAGTGTGCTAGATGCTGTAGAAACACTCAGCGGTAGAAATGGCATATCTCAGAGGGTTTATAGTCTAGTTATTGCACAAGGGATGGTAGATAGAAATAAACAGAAAGGTGGAAGTTTGTGGAAGGCCGCGACAATATTGCCCAGCATGATGGGCAGTCTGGCACACCTCTCTAATCTATTGAGGTGGTCTAGGAACTTTTTTTCGTGCAGCAGTCACTAGAGAAGATGTAGGATCGAAGGTTTTTGAGTAAGGAGTCTTTGATGCAGATGCTCGTGGGTAGCTAACAGGAGTCCTATAGGATGCATTATTTGATGCTTACTGCAGGTTAGCAAGTTTTACAGGTATGACATTTTCTTTTTCCAGGTTCTGCCACCTTTCAAATGCAAAGAGCTTAGCATTGTGCAGGGCCATATGGGTCTCTGAGAGGCTGAAGCTTGCTGTGGAAGATGGTCTCTTTCTGCGTTCTCTCAGGGACCTCTGCTGTTCTTTGCACAACAAAACCAAATCACTCAGATGCTTCTGTATATTTTTCCTTTCTTTAAAGAATCTAACAAAAGATGTTTATTTTACCCCAGTATGCCATTGAATCTGCAATTCAGCTGATATTCTTTGTTCAAAGATGACTGCATTAGGAGTTTCTTCTACATGTTGTTCCAAATCAAAGTTTAAATAAAAAAATGCAATTGTATTTTTAAATGCAAATTTGGAATTCTGATACTTGCAAACCAAAAGAACAGCGCTGAAAGCAGAAATATAACAAAATGTTTGGCAAAGTCTTCACAGAAGCTTAGTTTATCCATTAAACGCTGAAACTGCAGTAAAATCTAAATTAAAAAGGAAAAAAAACCAATTTCTGCATTTTTTATTGTTCTACTACTGAAAACTGGTAATAGTAATTCACTTCTGTCATTTCTCAGTTTTTAACCTCTTGGGTCTTGTTAATGGATTTTGGTCTAAGCAAAAGGAATCAAAATAGATGTACACTGAGTTACGACAGGCATTTCCGCACAGTGATCATAACGTCGGTTGTCTGTTTTGAGGGTAAATCGTTCTTGATCTCTTTTCCTTCTCCTAATCTTTTGGCATAGGATATTTGCTACCTGAGTAGCTAGAATTTGTTCTCAGTGCTACTGTTTTGTCCAAGGTCACTGATTTTCACCATGTACCCCAAGGTTAGACTGTTGCTCGCAGCTAACTTACTGGACAACAAATGTCACCAGCAGGCCAGTCAAACTTTCAAGGGTGCAGCCGTACACAGAGTGTTTAAGTCCTGTGTTCAGATATGTCTCTATCCCTCTGGAGTTTAGGGCCGTCATGTCTACTCTGTAAGCTGAGTTGTCACCACAGCATAAGCAGTTATACCTGCCGTAGCAGTATTCGAAATCAGGCAGAGGTAGTAACATTACTAGCCCTGCAAGCAGAATGAAGTCCTGGCAGCGGGTAGAGTGCATAAACAAACACAAAACTGTGCTGCAAGTGGTCTTGAGCTGTTGGCACCCTCATTCTTCACAGGCAGGCTGCTTCAGAGGTGTGCGTGTGGTCAGCAGTCACTACTCCGCAGTGCCCAAAGCCAGAGTCCTTTAATGTCTACCTCACTGCTGAAAACATCCCTGAAAGAGACATGACAGCTTGTGTTCAAAACTGAAGTAGAAATTAAAATCAGAGACGTTCCTCAGCTTTAAGCGCATCCTACAAACTTGCTCTGACCTTCCTCTTTGACCCTCCATGCTCAATTCCCTAGAGTGGGACTGCTCCTTGGTCCCATCACATTATTTGTATTATGTTTTTTTTTAAAATGTAGTTTTTGCTCGTGGGACTCATCATTTCATTGATAAGCCATTTCCTTTCAAAAGCCTAAGAGTATCTTCTCCTTGTTCAGTGAATGGAGTACAGGTGCAAGGTACCAGGATCGAAGCTGCGCAGGTACGGACTAGCAGGATGGCCTCATGTCGGTTGTGTGCAGTGTCCATAGCTCCGCCACAAACCAAACTCTGGGCTCAGATGTGATTAAGAAATGAGAAGACTTGCTTTTAAATCAGAGCACCAAGTGCTGCTAATGTAAAATGAAAGTAGGAATGAAAAGAAACAAGCCACGTAAGTATGGGAATATATTTAATTTATCATGGCAGGTCTATAGTTTGGCTCTAATCCCTTGTTTGAAAATCAAAACCAGACTACTAGAACCCCACCTGCCAGAGTCAATCTGTTTCATAATTACCTGTGGGTTGCTATTTTTGTTTACCCTAATAGCGCAGTACATACTGCTTCTCCCTTTGTTTATGACCTATTTAAGCGATGCAAATGTCTTGAAGAAATTGTGTTTTTAATAGTGCTCCAGTGACTACCTTCTTTCACCTCCCAAAATAGAAGCCAATGGATCAGCCCTCCAGCATCAGCAATATTAGAGGGGGAAAAAAATTTTAGCATGCTGCCAAGCCTGATGTTTATAATGGTCTTCAATTTTTAGTTGCTGCAAGTGATTAGAAAACATTGGGGATTTTATTTCCTTTTTCTATACCGAGAGCTCATTTTTGTACAGAAAGGTCCAACAGTCAGATGAGTTACTTGTAAAAGCTTAAAGTGTGATTATCATTGCTCCTTTCTAGATACTTTAGAAAAGAAGAAGAGACAAAGAACTCTTTCCCCTTCCAGGCAATCCTGCAAACGGGAGGTTCATGAGGTAGGAGCAAAACTGATTCATATACTGGTAGGAGACGTACCTTGGTTGGGCCCCCTGCATATGTGTGCTCAAAGGTTAGAATTGGCTCCATCTCCTTTCATTATATACTGTGAATCCCAGGCTGATTTTACCACTTGTTGGAGAGAGAAATTCATTCCTCTCCTGGGCTTGGCTGTGTCTCACAGTACTTTAGCACGTAAGTAGTAATGCAGTTAGAAAGAAATACACTGCTTTACACAGCTCATGGTTGCAGGAGATACTCACATCCTCCTGCTCCCTTTTTTAACTCAAGGACCTTTCAGTGCCAACCTGAAGGCAGTGATTTTCACATGTTGAAGAGGAAGTCTGTTTAGGTGAGCAGTGACCCTGGAGATCTACAGGGTCACACAATTGCACAAAACTGAGCTTGATGCCCTGTGAAAATCTGGTAAAATAAACCCATTTGCAAGAGAGGAAAGGGAACTTCTGAGAGATTTGGGCTACAGGTGACTTCACAAAAATCCAGATTATGACAGCTAAAAAGGAGAAGTGTTTGTGTGCAAGGAACATTGTGAAACCTCTCATCATAGCTGCTTTTGTATCTGTGTTGGATGAGGTAATTACGAGCCTAGCCCAAAGCACTTTGCATGCTAAAATAGCTCTTTTCCCTTTGGAAAATCTTACTGAAATGCTACCATCTGTAAACAAAGTAAAATAACCCAAATTGCAGCTCTGAGAAGCTATTATCTTGGGATTTGGTCACTTCAGGTCAGTCAAAGACCTGCATTACATCTTGGTTAAGGTGATGTAACCATCATTTTAGTATCTAAGTGACTTCCAGGTAAAGTAATACTAATAAGCTAATAGTCAGGTTTTAGAGAGTCTCTACCACTTCTCTGTTTTGAGGAGTCAGGCATTTTTGTGAGAATCAGAAGGCTCAGATGATTTCTTTTATCCTTTTTAATAGCTGTGCTTTTTGAAGGTGGCCTTTCATGAGGTTTACTTAACAAAAAACTTAGCAGTTGCTGTTTATGAAAACAGGAGGGAGCTGAAGAGCCCTTAGCATTTCATAATAGCAGGACTCATCTCCGAGTGGCCAAATGAGGGCTGGGCTTCAGAGGTCGTTTTTGAGATTCTATTTTAGAAAACATTGCCTTGACACTTTCAACTGCTTTTAAATGGGACACACCCCAAAATAAGTTAAATCTCATGATAGTTTGATAAAGGATACAAAAAAATCAATTTCAGTTCAGTGCCTAGCAGACACGTATTTTTCTGGTGAAAAAACAAAATCACACTTGGAAACGGCACTGTCCATCTCTCCACACAGAAAGTAATAGGAATTTCCACCAGCTTTAACTGGAATGAAAGATTCTTTCAAGCCGAAGGGAAAACTTTACAGTCTAACATTTTAATGGGTTGTACCAATTCATGCTTGATGAAATCTGATCATCTAATTCTGTGTTTTAACTTTATAGATAAACTCCTCTAATTTGGACTTAGGAATCAGCCAGGATATAATCAATTTTATTAATCTCTGAGTTTTAAAAGATTGTGAAAATTATATTTGAACTTGCAATTGTAAATGATCATTTACTTTTTTCTTTCCATCTAAAATCAATTTAAAAATGCCATTATTAATAAGAGAAATTTTACAGAGGGATAGTTGAAAACATATGAAACGTAGCACTTGTAGACAACTGGTATCCTTACTTGAAGTCTTATCTGGCAAGCTATCAGAACCGAATGTTATAAAATCATATTTTATTTATAAATCTGTTATGAATCGTGACTTGTGTAGCCAATCTAGTAAGAAAAAAGAACAATTAAAATACAAGATCACTTTCTGCTGCTAGTGGAAAGATTTGCATCAATAAAATGGGAAGAAATATAGGGAAATAAGCATAAATATGCATAATCAACATTCATTAAAAATAAAATCAAATTCCTTCAGTCTTAATTATCTTCACTATATTTCTTACCTCTGGCAGATTTTCTTAGTCTTGGAAGCTGTAAGGAGAGAGACTTTCACTTTTTAAGAAGAGTGATAAATCTGAAATCAACAACTGTTAGTATGATTGGTAGTTTGCTGGAAGAAAATGCCTTTTGTGCAGCATCTTGTCCAAGATTCAATCAGGCTTCAAACCAAAGAATTCCAGTTAAACAGTTCTCATGGATTTTCAGCAATGAGCAAGCTGGGGTGGGTGGGGAAATATTTACCAGTGTCTCTAAGGCTCTTGAACTTTATTTTCCTTTGCATAGTCAATTTACTGATCTCAGTTATGATTATGATTCTCAGTATATGGCTTCTTCACTCATAAACAGTTGATGCAATGTGTGGCAGAGCATAGACTGAGGAGGTGAGCTGTGCTATTCCCACTTGATTACCTGTGTCAAGTCACACGTCAATAAAAGATGAACAAACTCTCCTTAAAATATTCAGAATGAGGGGCCAGGCTCTCAAAAGGTTTAAACATTTTAGCTCCATTGACCTCAGGATATAGGGAGTATGGAAACGTGTATCGAAACGTAAGGGAGAGACCAAGGGCAAAGATGGATACTTCAGCTCTCATCATGTTAAAATTAGCTTTTTATCATTAGTTAAAATTGGGTGCATTGCTGGAAGATACGGTTTGAGTGCACCATGATGAAGAAAGAGTGAGGAAAGTCCGTGAATCTCTGTATGACTGAACTGTGTATCTATCGTCATTTTCCAGGACTTGACACTGATGTAAGTGTAACCAAAATGCACCTTTTTTTCAGCTTACATTTAGTAGTTTGTCCTAATTTGGATATATCCATTTTGATATTTGATTTCAGGTTGATATTCTAAATGAGAAAAAACAAACAAAAAGTCCAACCCAGGTTAGATAGGGTGGTTGATTTCAAGGTGTATTTTTGTCGGTGTGGTACTGACCACTTCCACAGAGTCAAGCTTCCCTTCTTCTGTCAAAAATCAGGGCTCAGTTTCCACCCTGGATCCTTCATGCATTTTCTGGCCAGACAATATCTGGTTATATGCCCTCTTGTGCATGTGTCACTGTTCTGAAATGATGATTGCATATTTATATGGTAAAGCAGAATAATTTGCACAGAAATATGTGTAACAACTGCAGCTCCTACATCCTAGGGAGAGAAAGATACTTTTCTAGAAAACAGCACAGAAAAGAACCAAACCTACCAACCTTTATATTTGTCATCCATATATCCAATTTTCCTTAATTCTTTTCTTGCCATCTAATTTATCTACTCAGGCTAGAAAATATGTTGCTATTGAGAGCTCTGCAAAAATCATTGTTATTAGCCATTAGTTAAAAAGAAATTTCTGCTGAAAAATCGTCCCATAAGACTGAAAATTCATGCTGTATGAGTTTGTGGCAATTAAAAGTAAATGTTAACTATTTTTTTTTTCCTTTGGTGTGATTGGATGTTCTGTTTAAATGCCTGAAGAGTTTGAAGGCCAGCATTAAAAAAAAAAAGATGTTTTATAAAATATTTAACTTACATTCTTGCATCTTTGACAAGTATTACATTGATATTATTTGCTTATAGAAAACTATACAGTGTGATTATTCAAATATATAACAGCTTATCTTCTAGTAGAAAGTTCAGCCTAGCTAAAGAGGCTTCGTGGGATGGAGACTGATGTATGGGAAACTGATTTATATCAGCTAAGGGGCTGCTAATTTTATATATTGGTTTTAAGAAGTTAATTAACCATAGTGTAAAACGAGAGTCATTCTGTTTAAGTGGGGAGAGCTGTTTCAAGTTTACATGAAGATTAAACTCTGTTATGTATCTAACAGCTATGAATAGTCATTGCAACAGTTTTGTGTAAATTCTCTATTATAACCTCTGTATTTCAAACGCATGCGTTTATATTTGCAAATGTAAAAAGTACAGTCATTTCATACATTTTAAGGCTAGCATGTGACTGAATGCCTTGGCAAATCAGAGCTTAGTTGTTTTATCATCTTTACACATCTTCTAGTCTATTAAGTTTGGATCTTGGAGCAATGTTCAACTAACAGGATTTTAGGAAGAAGAACACATCATATTTGTGAATACACCTATTTATTTCCTTTGTTAATAGGGGAAAAAATATATATTTTGAAAACTAGTACGTTGAAATATAAGGACCTCGTTTGAAAGGCAAAGCACGCCCCATGCCTGCGAGAGTCAAGGGAAGGTGAGAGGCCAGGAATTTCACAGCACCTTTTGCCAGGGAAGCACGAGTAGCTCTGTGGTGCCGTTCCCATTGTTCTCCATGGTGTGCTAAGCACTGGTAAGAAAGAGAGGAGCTAAAGGAGAGATTGGACCCCCCCACCTTCCCCTTGCCTCCCAAAAGGCACACTTCTTCTCTGGCTTTACATACAGTACAAATGTTTCATTTAGCCCCTCTTTTGGCTCTATAAAATAAACAAATCTGAACTGAGAAAATGTCAACTACATAAATTTTAGTGGGCTTCGTATGGAAAACATGGAATTTGTATTGATTTATACCAGCTGATGAGCTGGCACAATGTGTTTTCCTTGCAGCTTTTATGAGACAGCTAGTGAATAATTCAAAATTACAGTGCTATGCATCCTGGTTGTGCTTCATAGAGGGAATGACTGCCATCGTTGTGCTGAGAGAGGGGCTTCTAAGTTTCTTCCCTTTGACTGCAAAATTCTGAAACGCTTATTGGAAAATTCCAAACCACCCCAAAACACAACAACTTCTGGTCAGATTCCCACCTGATTCCAATATTTCAGATCTGAAGGTTTTCAACATTTTTACGGGTCAAGGCAATTAATATTCCCTCACCTGCTCTTCAAGATAACATATGTAATATCATCAGCAGCAGGTATCATACTCATCCCATTTGCTGCTTTTCTCTCTGATTTTTCCAGGACAAGCATTAGTCCAGATGCTGAACTCTATTTGTAGGTAAAACTCTATTTGTAGGAAAAGTCTTACCTTGTTTAAATAGTTTGTTCCTTCTTTCCTAGCAGGATGTATGGAGAATTTTGGGCAGAGCGTATCCCTGACCTTAGGCTGACCCTACCAAGAAATCAGCTACAAGGTACTCCATTATTGCCATGAGCATGTGTTGATACACCTTTGAGCATCCCTGGAGTTCTGTTTTTTCCCCCAGAATTCATGCTCCGCATAAATAATTTCCAATGGCAATTTTAATGCAAATGTAATGATCACAAAAGGTGCCAATCTGGCAAATCTGGAGAACAGCAGCCTGAGAGCCTTTCCCTCTTTCATGAGGGTACAAACCAAAAATTTGATCTATCTATCTACAACATCTGCATGCATAGACTTCTCCCTGAGCTGGAGAAATCAGATGTGGAGCCAGCCAGATAGTTTTCAAGTAGGGGAAATATAGCAAGCCAAAGTTGTCTCTCTGCAACTAGTTTCCACAGTTCAAACACCAATATTCTATGCTACATAAATTGTTTTACTAGAACACTTTAATATCCAGTGATATTTTATTAAGTGAATCATGCAGCTGACCGACGGTTTTTGTGCTAAAGTAGTATACAGCTGTAAGGTTGAAGAAAATATCAACATGTGGTGTTTTTTGAAGTTCTCCCTTCTGAATTCTTTCTACTGTCCCTCCAAAATACTATTTAAGATGAGACCTTGTTAATTCTGAGAAGGGCTGAATAAGTACAGCGTGTCTTTTACAGAACACTCCTCTTAGTATAGCCTAGAATAAGAATTGTTTCTTCCCCCAAATACCAATTTCGACTCATCCTGCGCTTGTTATCTACAGTAATTCTGAGATCTTTGCTGCTGAACTGTTGCCCAGCCACATATATTCCTCACTTTGTATCTGTGCATTTCATTTCTTCTCAGCTGGAGTCTATCTCACCTCACAACAGACACCCAAAAGCTAAGCATTTTGTCTAGATAGCTCCCTGGGATTTATCTCTTTGCAAAGTAGTGACAAAGGTGTCTTTAGAGGGCAATTTACCCCCAATGACTGAGACGTCGAAACTTGGGGTGCCTGGATTTTGCATGAACTATCTCAGCTTGTCTTTTGAAGAATTTCTTTGTATTGATTTTGGAAAATGTCTTCACTCAAGATCACGTTGAGTTCTGAGCTTGTAGTCCAAGTGCTTGTCAACCTTTTCACCCGGGTGTCATTCACATATGATATAAAAATCCTCTTTATAGTAACTGTCTTTAAGTAGCCTCATTTATTGATAGCTATGCTGAGTAGGGTTTTCAAGTAGCTGCATAACATCTTATGAGGTTTTAACCTAAATTCTACAACCCAAGTTTGTTTATAAGGCTGTGCTGTGTCAGGATACTTTGCAGGGATTATTTCTGCAGGGATTATTGAGGCTAGCAATTATGTCAGAAGAGGAAATTTGATGGGTTTGATAAGATTTCATTTGGATACACCTACTGAATTCTTCTTTTAATACCATATATATTTTTTTCTATGTATTTAAATTATTTTGGGAATGAAAATTAGGTTCATTGGTCTTCTAACTCCTGCTCTTAAAGAAGGAGGGATTGACTCTTTTGAGATTCATGCATTCATCCAAGAGTTCTCAAAAATTGCCACTGGTTCAGAGGTTGCTCTATCTAGTTTCTAAGCCACAAATTTGATAACTGGATGGCATGCAACTTGTTTTACTTTTTAAATATATTCTTTTCCTTTTCTGACCTCTCCTTTTTAAAAAAATTGTTCATGCTAAGTATCTGATTTATGGTGACACAATTACAAATTCCTCTGAACAGTGAAACAACTAAGACTTAGACTTATTCTGCCTTCTCTGTGGTTCTCCTTCCTGGTAAGTAGTAGACCTCTGTCTTCATCTGATTTCTAATGTATAGCTTGATTTTGTTCTTATTTCCTATATGTCATATTCTTACCATAGCCTTTCTGATTTTATCCATGTGTTTTTTTGTTCCCATCCTTAGTTACTTGTCCTGGATCTCAGTTTTTGCAGGAATCCTTTCTGAATTTCAGATCCCTCAGGAGTTCCTGACAGAGCTGGGCCTTTCACACGATCTCATTCAGAAAACTCTCACTTTCTTTTCTCTGTTTTTCGGTTCATTTTCCTCGAAAGGTCTTCCAGTGCTTTGTGTTCTTTGTATTCCACGATCCTTATTCTTTTTCTTGAAGTTGAAAATCTCATGAATCCTGACTGATCTTCTTGCTTAGTCATAACCTAAAATTACCTCTCTTTATCTACCATCTTCTGCTTCCTGAAGCAATCAGTTGTCACCACCAATGCTGAGAATTTACTGAATGGTCTGCATCCTGCCTGTCCCCATCTTAACTGATAGTTAATCAAATTAAATCACTGTTCTCCAGAAGATCTTGTTCTTTGGATGTTTCTGATGTTTGCTATCAAAAAGTCTCGTTTACATCTTCCTTCTTCTTAGATATTTTAAAGTATACTGCTGTCTTTTCACTGAAAAATACACAAGACAGAAAAATACGCATTTGCTGCTTGCCTTCTCCTGAATTTCAGAGCAAATACGTCTATGTGCTATTCGTGTACAAAGCAGTTGCTCCCTTTTTTAATTCTGCTCTTTCCTAAATGAGCTTCTCAACTAATATCCAAGTCCTGCATTTTAGCATACTGTTTTTTGTGATGTCTTTGCAATGTGAATTTATGTTAGAAAGCTTCAAGGAGTATTTTAAATGTATTCTTCTCAAGCAACTTTTTGAAAGTACAGAACACTTCTGGCACCAGCTTTTCATTACTTTGGGAACTACTCAATTTACTGTATACGAAACACAGAGCTGCCACTTTATCCAGATAGGAGACAATGTATGGCTGTCTTTTTTTTCATAAAGTATGATTTTTTTTTTCATCTAACTTTTGCCCGATCCACTTCTTTCCCTTCCTCTACCCCCTTACATCTATCATGTAATCTGTGCTAATAGTTTTTTTTTTACATTACTCTAGAGCAAGTTGCTTGGTGCCTATAGCACGAATTAGGGCACTATACCAAGTTTAGAATTTAGTGTAGAATTTTATAAGTACTACAGAAACTCAGGCTATTTCATTATAAAACTTACTTTTCTGTTTTCATTTCAGTGACATTAGGGGACGTCCCACTGCTAATTTTCCTTCCATAACTTTCATTCTGGATTCTATCCTCATGTCCACGGAATTATTATTACAAGACATAAACTCTTTACACTATACACAATATTTAAAAAAAAACAAAACTCAAAAAACCCTAAAGTGGAATACTATATCCTCTGTAAACCCTGTTTTTTTTTTTTTTTTTTGCCTGTTGCTAAGGGTAGGGGATGCGTGATGCTGAATGTAGAACAGTTGTAAAATAAGTTAGTTTTACATATGCATTTCTGCAGAAATAAATCAGTCACTGGAGAATCATTCTCTTGGAAACCAAACAGCGCGGGTGAGTAAAGAGGTTTGGGAGTAGGGATAATCAGCCATGGCTACATCTGCACAGCGAGGACCAACAACAGTCTATCCCAGAACATTGCATAACACAGCAAAAGCCTCCCCCTTAACCTTGACTCTGTCTTTGTTTGAGTGAAGTCCATATTTAGTTCATTGTTCCCAAATACACAAGTGCTAGTTTATGGGAGAAAAAAGGTCAAGCTA